ACCATAATAAAGTATCTATTTATTTAAATACTATACCATGATAAAGTATCTATTTATTTAAATACTATACCATGATAAAGTATCTATATATTTAAATACTATACCATAATAAAGTATCTACGTCACCGTTAGTTGTTATTAAAATGCTGTTTTTATGTTAAAATAGAAAATAAACTTATCTTCTCATCACTTTCTCTTCTAAACGCCTTGAAATTGGCCTCTGTCTCTTTAAGAACCTCCTTCTGCTTCTGTCCCACCCAGTTCAGTGTGGGGGTCGCATGTGTGCTATGATGCAGTTTACTTGGCATCTGAAAATACATTTCCTCAAAGGTATTTGAATCTGAAAAGAGCTTCACTGAGTGAGAAGTAGTGGATCTCCGCAGACAGTTAAGTTTCACTTTCACTTTCAGTTTCACTCTTTGCTCTGTTACTGCAGAGAGCCTGCAGGAGTCATGGGCGGGGGGGATGTTTCACGCGTGCGCCATGATGCAGTTTACTTGGCATCTAAAAATACATTTCCTCAAAGGTATTTGAATCTGAAAAGAGTTTCACTGAGTGAGAAGTAGTGGATCTCAGCAGACAGCTTAAGTTTCACTTTCAGTTTGCTTTCTTACTGCCGAGAGCCTGCAGGAGTTAAGGGCGGGGTGTGTGGGGTGGGGAGGTGTGCTCCGTGATGAGAAAGTTCGGCTTAAAGACATATCCCAGGGGCGTTTCTGGTCCCCACCTGTTGTTTTCCTCTGCATGGCTGCCTAAAAATGCTGCAGTATTTCTCAAACGTGCATGAAGGCTTTGGGCATGTTTTTATGAGAATGTAACATTATAACATGATATAAAACTCAAAAAAGTTGATTTTACATGATATTGCCCCTTTAAATGATAAAAAAAAATTACGAACTAAAGTTTTACAATGGCTGTCAAAAGACATAGAACRATCAAAGATAACACCCAGATTTATGAGACTATTTTTCACTGAAGGGGTTAAAAAAGCAAGGTGCTGCCTGATTACAGGGATTTTATCATCAGGGGCCATAATAAGAGTTTCAGTCTTGTTTGCATTTAACTGCAGGTAGTTGTTGTTCAGCCATATTTTGACTTCTGACAGACAGTTAAGTTCAGAAAGTTTGAAGAACTCAGAGGCTCGAAAGGAACAGTACAACTGTATGTCATCAGCATACAGATGGTAGGACACATTACTGTAACATTTTAAAATACCTCCTAAAGGTATAAGTACAATAAAGAGGACTGGACCCAAAACTGAACCTTGGGGTACCCAACAAGACAGCGGTGCAACATCAGAGTAAAACTGATTCATAAAAACCATAAAAGACCGTTCAGATACTGTAAATAAGAGGTGAACCAGTTTAACACAGAGCCAGAAATACCAAACAAATCTCTGTCTGCTGACAAGAACAGTGATCCACAGTGTCGAAGGCTGAAGTTATGTCCAATAAAACCAGCACAGTGTAGTTTTCAGAGTCAGCTGCTATCAGCAAGTCACTTGCAACTTTTAATAAAGCTGTTTCAGTGGAGTGCAATTCGCGAAATCCAGAGTGAAAAACATCCATAATGTCATTTTCCTCCAAAAAGCAAATCAATTGTTCAGCTACAACCTTCAAGGATTTTTGATAAAGATGGTAGTTTGGAGATCGGTCTGTAGCTTTCAGGCAGAGAAGAGTCCAAATTAGGCTTTTTTAACAGAGGACAGACAACAGCTGTTTTYAAGCAGTGGGGTACAGAACCAGAACCAAGACAGTAATGTGTCAGTTTTACAACACTTGGTTGAGGAGGCCCATGCACAGTAGGAGAAAGTAATACAATTTGTGACATTTGTAGCGCTACATGCATGCTTAAATTTTATTGGTAAAGTGTAGTTTCTCCTTAAAACAATGAGGCAATCTCTATACATGTAGCCGAAGTCAGAGGTCCGAGGGGGGAAGCAACGTGGCCCACCCATCAGCTCCAGAACCCTTGTCAGAGCCAACAAAACCAAGCATCAATTCTGAACTCTGGAAAACAGAGTAGGATGTTGCACCCGAAAAGAAGTCTCTTGAGGGGGGTGGGGTGTGTGTGTGTGTGGGTGTGTGTGTGTGTGTGTGTGTGTGTGTGTGTGTGTG